AAATGAATGGAAGAGGAGGAGGCAAATAAGAAAAATACTACGCGTGGGTGAAGAAGAAGCACCCAACAAAAAAAATATCAATGGATACAACGAGGTAAGTAATTTTTTTGTTAATAAACAATAAAATAAAAAGTATTAATTTAAATAGTTTAAAACAATATAATAATTGTTTCTTTTGTTTCTTTACAGGTTCTGGTGGATTTCTATGGCCGTATAAGGGGATTTTAAATAAGGTATACAAAAACATAGTGATAGAAAAATTTATTAGTGGTGTTGTTAACTAACACAACCAAATTTTTTCTTTACAGGGATCATGTTGGCTGCCTTGGGCCTATATAAAAAAACTTGATGGCCGATTCTGAAAGATGGCGGATCGAAGCAGAATGAAATGGTAAGTAAAAAAAAAATGTGGAAATTATTATAAATATTTATATAAAATTTTCTAATAATTTTGTTTTAAATTTTTCAGGTTTGTTCCAGATGGGCCAGTGGACTAGGAATTAAGGTGGTTCCGGGAATTTAGGTAAGTGTAATGGATTATATTGAAATATAAAAAGTGGACTTAGTGAAAATTAAAATGTGGTTCGGTGCAAAAAAAAAAAATTTTTGGTTACAGTGTGCGTCAAAAGTGTGAGTGTGCGTGAGTAAAAAAAAAATTTTAATCGAATAAAATAAAAAAATTTTATAAATTTAAAATAATTTCGGTTCGGGTTTTGGAAAAAGTGAATTCGGGAAAAAAAATATTTTGGAATTTACAGTGCGTGTAAAAAGTAAACGGAAAAAAAAAAATACTTGAAAAAGTTTTAACAATCGTTTCGTGTAGAATAATTAAAAGTGAAAATGTTAAAGAAAAATTATTTGATCGGAATTTATAGTGAGTGTCAAAAGTGTTCGGACAGAAAAAATTAATTTAATGAAAAAAAGTTGGAAAAAAGAAAATTGTTTAAGAAATTAGAGTGGTTCTGAAAAGTGACAAAAAAAATTTAAAATTTAAATTTGGAAGATACAGTGAGAACAAAAAGTGAAGTGACAGTGAAATATTTTTTTTTCTTCAAATACAGTAGGTGTAAAAAAAACGTGAAAATTTTTAGTGACTGGATCTAATAAGCGAGACCAACGGAAACTAAAGTTTGAAAATTTACAGTGGCCATCAGAATTTGGTGAATCAGTTAAATTTAAAACAAAATTATTTGTGTAAACGAAAATGAAGTGAACCGTGACCAAAACCTTTTGTAAACCAAAAACAAAAAGAAAAATTAATAAAGAAAACTCTAAAAAAAATCAAACCAATCCTAAATGGATAAAATAAAAGAAAGTGAAAATAAAATTATTTCTCCGATTAAAATATCTTTTTGCTTTAATTCAAAATTAATAATTTATAAATTTTCTTTTACTTTCAGCTAATAAAATTCAATTGGACCTGGGATTTGGCCTTGGTTGCTGCTTCCGTTCAGGAAAGGTAAGTAATAAACCTAAAACTAAATAATATATAATGAAACATAATTTCACTTATATTAAGTTTTTTCTTCATATTCACGACTTAATCGTAGGAATTTGGTAGAAATGTAAGGACTAAGTTCACCAAAAGCTCATAGACTAACGTCTAGAGACTTTGGCAAGAAATACCCCTTACAATTTCTCCGGAAATAAAAGTAAAAATATTCAAAAATAAAATTATTTTGAAAAAAAAAAAGAAAAATATATATATAAAGTGTAATTTTCTAAAAGGAATAATAAATAAAAAATGATTTGATCTTAGCTTGGAATTCAGTTGTCCTTTTAGAAGATTACAAAAAAGCTAGATTAAATTAATTCACTAATTATATTTATTTCTCTTCCACAGGTTATAAATTCAGATTGACCTGGACCGGAAGCTTGAATGCGGTATATGAACCCAATTATTATTCTAAAACGTAAGTACTAACTAATACTGAACTTATCTAAATCAAATGATTAGATATTGAAAATGACTTGTAATCACCAAAATTTACTTTAGACCAAATACTAATTGTTTTGTTTTTCCTTTCACAGGTTGAAATCATCAAATTTTGGTTCCTGAAGAAAATCAACAATACCAGCCAACTGTAAGATCGAGAGGAAAATTTCTCCAATCAAACGAAAATTTTAATCGGTAAGTGAAAACTTTAAATTTCTATTATTAACATCTAATTTTAAGTTATTCTGTTTAGTCTAATATTAGATTTAGTATTTAAATTAGATTTAAAAAGCAAACTATAGATATATTGCCTTATTTCGTGATCGTTAAGATCATAATGTTTTCCATTAGAAAAAACTAATTTCGCCAGGAATAGTTTCGTGTTGTGAGAACAACATACCGTAGTGATAGATTTCCCTGTTAACGAGTAATTCACGTGTTTCTACCTTACCCGAAACGCTTGTTGGATACTCGTCGCAGCTTTGCTCCCAGACAATTCAAATTTGCCAAATTTTAGTCAGCGCTTAGATTACTAATATTCCTAACCCTGAGTGCATGGTTCCAAGGGTGCTATGACGGAATTGCATCTATGACTAGCGTCTGACGATCACAACGTGGTCATAAACGAAAATTAATATATTTAGTCTGGTTGAGCACTCGGCGAACTACTCGTTAACGGGCAAACTATCACGACTGTTTACTGTTCCACAACACAATGAACTTCCCTGGTCGTAGGCTTTCACTAAAAAAGAAAACAAAGTGTTAAATATAATCAAGGCAAAATATCATTAACAAAATGTTTTGTGTAGAAAGTATCTACTAACTCATTTATACAAAATACAGAAAATAAAATAGGTTTTAATCATTTTGGTTCGAGCTAGGAGTAGGTATAATCGTTGGGACTAGAACCACCAAAGATGTTGAAACTATTGTTTCAAATCTTTGGCATGAAATACCCCCAACGATTTTCCTTGAAGGTCTTCAACCTCGTATAGGCTATTACCAATAGGTCTGACAATTCGGCATTTTAAAAATTTCTTGGCTAGTTTAGCATTAAAATTATTTTTGAAATCGCTTTGCTGAAAGTTGCGGCGATAAACCTCTTGACCTGTAAAAACTTGACTTGACGGCAACGGGTATTGTATGTCTTCTCGTGTTTCAAATATGCTTTGTGCAGATTCTCACGAATTTTGGCGCCGTACTAAGTCCATTTTTTGGTACTATGTCGATTTCCGGATCATGAAGACATTGTATTTCTTCGCAAGCTATATTACACTTCCGTGCGAAATCATGTTCATACCGAACAGTGCGAAGTACGGCGTAACCCCAATAGACGTTTGGACTGACGACCGCAGCGAAAATTCAATTTCGGACAGGTACTTATCCCACTCAGTGTGATCCTCCTGTAGGTAGGAACGAATTGCGGACAGGATGGACTGGTTAACCCGTTCCGAAGCGTTGGCTTGTGGCGAGTGTGTGGCAGTTTTTACATGCTTTACGCCAAAATTCGTTACCATATCCTGAAACTCTTTACTAGTAAACTGCTTGCCATTATCAGACAAAATCGTCTCAGGTGTACCAAATTTGTGGAACACTTCAGATATTAAAAACTTAATGACGTTTTTCGTGTTAGCTTTCGGCATAGCTCTGAGCAGTACATATTTCGTTAGGTGGTCTAGGACGATGAATATGTAAGCGTTTCCGTTTTCTTGACCGTGGATAAGGCCCCAAAAAGTCTATAAAGATCTTCTGGAACGGTCGTTCCGTTGTAGATTCAGCTCCCATTGGTGGTCTTAGGATAGAATTCGCGGGTTTTGTCTCGCGACAGGTTTGGCATTTGGCCACAAATGATCGGACCTGAACATTCTGGTTGGGCCAGTAGAAATATTCCCTTAACCTTCGGAGCGTTTTACCAAAACCTCCATGAGCGGCTTGAGGCGGATTGTGGCACTTCGCAATTACTTCTTGAGTAAGCTCTAGTGGAACCCATAACTTCCAGGCAAAATCTTCGTTTAGCGGCACCCCGTCATATGGGAGGACCCGCTTATAAACCAGGTCATCCACGACCTTCAAATCAGGCAGGCTTTCAGCGTTTTCCTTGATTTTGGCGATTAAGTCCAGGTAACTTTGACCTTTGAAATACTCAGACTCTAAATCTATTAAATTATTTACCTCCACAGATACTTCCTCCATGTCATATCTCGACAAGGTCTCGGGAACGATATTTTTGGATCCGGGCCGGTGTTCGATGGTAAAGGTAAAGGCCTGTAGATGTAAGCTCCATCGGGCTAGTCTGCCACTGAGGTCTTTGTGGGACATAAGCCATTTTAGGCTGCTATGGTCCGTGATGACTGTAAATGGCAAAAGTTCTATATAAGGCCGGAATTTCTTAATGGCCATCACTACGGCCAAACACTCTCTCTCGGTAACCGAGTAGTTCTTCTGTGCACTGGTCAATTTGTGAGAGAAGAAGGCTACTGGATGTTCGCCGTCGTTTTCGTCTTTCTGGAACAGAACTGCTCCCAAACCTATGTCTGATGCATCGCATTGGACATAAAAGTGCCTGTTGAAATCGGGATGCATAAGCACTGGTGCTGTTGTGAGGGCGGGACTTTAGCTTGTCGAAGGCTTCCTTAGCTTCGTCCGGAAAGTTGAAAACCTTTTCCTTTCTTAAGGGTGTTAAAAATAGGTGTTGATATGGTAGCGTAGTCGGGGATGAAGCGCCTATACCAACCCGTAGCTCCCATGAAGCTTCGGACCTGTTTGGCGGTTTTCGGGTAGGTATATTTTAAAATCGTATCGATCTTATCTGGGTCAGGTTTTAACTTCCCTCCTCCTACTATATACCCTAGGTACTTCAACTCTTTGAAGCAAAATTTCGACTTCCCTACGTTGATGGTCAGACCCGCCGAATCCAGGCAATACGCTACCCGATCCAGCAACTCCAGGTGAGTCTCAAAGTCTGGAGATACGATCAAAAGGTCATCTAGATAGACGAAAACTCTATCACGAAGTGCTGAAGGGATCACTTTGTCCATCAGACTACATAACCTTTGGGCTGCGTTACACAACCCGAAAGGCATGACCGTGAAATGGTAAAGTGGTCGCCCCGGCACCGTGAATGCAGTCTTCTCCCTACTAGATGCATTTAACGGTATCTGCCAGAACGCGTCTTTGAGATCCACGCTGGATATGAAGAACGTATCCCCTAACCGACTGAGCAGACCTTCGATGTGCGGCAGCGGATAGGCGTCCTGACCGTGAGGGCATTTAGCTTACGAGCGTCCAGACACAATCGGTTCTTCTCGCCCCTACGGACGAGAGTAACCGGATGGCTCCAAGGACTCTGGCTCTGCTCTATGACCCCAAGCTCAAGCATCCTATCCAGCTCGGCATACATTAACTTCTGCACAGCCGGTGAGACGGGATAATGCCTGTCCTTCACTGGGATCGCGTC